CACATTTCCGGGCTCACTTTGGTGTGTTTATTAAGGCACGGTATTGTCAGATCACAGGGAGTATCTTATTTTAATTTTCATATCTCCAATTCTAAAGGGGATTAAATTATCCAATTAAGCTGTTAATTAAAAAGACTCCTACAGAATAAACTGCAGGCTACCAATGGCATTTTCAATTTTCATTGTGCTGTGCTCAAAAGCAATTTTCTAAATTCAGAAGAGCTCAAAGTTACTGTCCTCAATTTTACTTTTGAAGGTGTGGCTGGTAATGCTAACTGAGAGGCCGTTTCCTCTTTCTGCACACATGACAGGACTATATGACCCAGCCTCTCCTGTGGTTAGGTTTGGCCACATAACTTAGGTCTAGCCAATGGAAGAGAAACAGAAGTAATGTAGACTACTCTGAACTCTGAAGACTAGCCCAAATCTTCTGCTCAACAGCTTCCAAAACTCCACCAGTTTCCTACTGATAAGCATATATTCGCACACGTGTTGAAAATGATGAAATTATGATATGGAAGGAACCTGCATCCACAAATCACCAGGAAAAGGAGAGAAAGTCACTGATCCTTAATACCCATTGTGTATGTAATGAAAAAAATTAAACTTAGATTGGGCTAAGCCATTGACGTTGTTTCTATAGCTAGTATGATCTTAATTATTAAACAAATCAAGTGAACTTGAGGGACATGTAAATAACCTCAGTGATTGGAAATAGCCTCCTTCAAATTTGATCAGGTCTACTTACATATGTACCTGAAAATCTAAGGAAACCCAATACCTCTTGGATCTCACAAAATCTAAATTGCATAGGCCACAGTAAGGCCTACGCCTCCATTGTCCCAAATCCCTCCCCTTTCCTGTCCACATCCCAGAGCTCACTCATTAACTCTGTTATTCATATTGCTTTCCCTCTGCTACTACCTTACGCACAAAAGTTCTTATTTCATGGATCAGCTCAGGAACTAGAAACTCAGAAATTGAACTGTCAAAGAGGGGCACCACCAGGCCATATTCAGCCACATATTACCCACTAACTCTATCATCTGATGTCTATTACATCAGATGATATTACATAATATTAACTGCTACATAGTGGGTTGGCCTAATACCCCGCAAACCAGTTCTTCTCCAGATCTTAGAACATATCAGTACCAGAAAGGTATTTAAAGTAACCAACAGAGGACTCTTCTGGCACTGCCAGTCTAACCCCAACAGGCTCATAGAGAAGTTAGTAGGAATTCTATAGTATGCCTATGGGTTTCTCTGTACTCAGGCAAGGTGGTCAGGTTTTCAGAGTCCTGTACCATTAGTCATTGTCAATAGGTCACCAGGCAATTCTAGTTCTCTGAAAGTACATTGGACAAAGAGGCTCCAATAGCATGAGGGTAGTCACCCTAGACAGCCATAGCCAATTAGAAATAAGCACACATAAGGTGAGTTAGGTCACCCAGTCAAAAGGACTTGCTGAGATCTGGGCAGAAGACACACTGACAGTGTCCGCCAGAGGAGAGTTGAATAATTCCTTCCCAGTGTCCCAAACCACACCCCACTGTACTTATATATCATCACACTCCATTCAGTAGGATAATTGTAACTGCATATCCATTTCCCATGTTAAACCAGACTGTTCAATTAAGCCAGAGACTATATATTATCCACGTGGACAAAGATGGTTCGGTGATTTAAGTATAATGAGTGCTTGGTTACTATTTGCTGGATGAGTGACTGTAAATTGACCAGATTGTTAAAGAATGGGGAGAACATAGAGATTCTTTGGTTTGATGGTGACTGTAATGTTCAGTGTCACTTTTGTGAGACTAGCCCTACCATGGTAGATAATTTCTTTAGAGTCATCTCTTTTCCTCAGTAGGAATATTATTGCAAAGGCACTAAGCCACATCTGCTGACTTATGTTCTGGAAGAAAATATGACCACCTTGCAAATTTCTAATTGTCCAAGGAGAAAGTTACTGCAGTAAAGGCCTGCTTTCATAAACCAAGAAAGCAAGCTTACTATAGTGTTTCGTATATGTTTTTGGCAAATATTGTCTAAATCAGACCTAAATATCAATAAAAGTTAATAAATTTTAATATTTTTAAAAAGGAAAGAAACAAAAAAATCTTCAATCAAGTTTTTATTGTCCTTAAAATAATTGTTCTCATTGTTTCACAAGTGCGGAAAGAAAACACAACCAAACTAATTTCATAGTGAGCATTTAGATTAAAAATGTATTGTCCAAGAGCATTTTTCTTCAAACCAGTAGGGCACTGCCACTGCTGATGAGAATGTTGTTGTATGAAACACTCATGTATTCTCCCATAATTTAAGATGCAGCTGCAGCATTATGCTAAAAATATGAAGGAAGAAGGCTATCGAATGCCAAGTGATTACAGAAGTACTCAATGAATAAATGTATTAGAAATAGGGTAATGTAAGGGATAAAGGTTAATCCAAAGGTCAGTATCCCAAAGCATAAAGACTGTCTTTCCTGACTCTGAGACAGTTGACAAGCAATTTCAAACCTCTCCATTTCTCTGGAATGAACATAACGTGCCTGGCAAGCCATAGTTCCTAGCTTCTTCTTAGTGATGCTCCAGGGCTAAATAAGATAAAATTTATGTGCTATGCTTTAAGCTCCATTGAGGCAAGGCACTAAATAAACTTCAGGATAATTTATGAATCCTGAGCTTGCATTAGTCATGTCCAGTCCATCTCATAAAAGGAAAAAAAAATGGAAACCAGAAGCCAATGCTGAGCGCTTAGTGAAAAGCTCAGCAATCTTTGGGCACTGGTAATAATAAGGCCAAACAATACTCTTTTATGCATTGAACCCTTGACTAATTCAGGAGAAATTCACAAAAAAACTAATTCTTTCCAGTGCTCAGACAATAGTTCACTGGCAGAACAGCTGGTATATGAGTCAGACAAGTGTGTTATTGCAGTCCTAGTCTGAGATCCAATATCTAATTTCCTTTTAATTTACCATAATTATTTTTGCAGAACTTTATGGCTCTCCTCCAGTGGATATCCTTAGCAAGGATTGCCAAAATCCTGTCTTCCTTTCAGAGCCCCATCCTTAGGCCAGCTTCTCCCTACTTTTTGTCCTTCCCTTCCAGTTGCATCTGGTCTTCTTCCCTCTACTACCTAATCAATGTCTGTCTCTTTTAGCAATCTGTATAAAAGTGAAGGATAGGACTATAATTTGAAGGATTAAACTGAAACATTTGGAAATCCAGTCCTTCTAGAAAATTGTTGTGGCTCAAAGTGATGGTTTTGTATTGTTACTTTGGGTTTCAAATAATAGTCAACTTTTAGTATAACTAGATTACATCAAGTAAAGTTACTCAAGCAAAGTAGTTCAGTCATCTAGAAACTGCACGAGCCCCAACTGATCACCAACCATTTTTCCAGAACCAACAAGCGACTAAACAATTCCATTTCCAAAGTCATAATTCTATGTTTTAATCAAACACTTTCTCTGACCTGCAGGAATGTGTTTATTTGGAACTTAAAAAAGAAATCTAGAAGAAAAATATTATTCATATAAGCATAACAAACCTCAGCTACTTTTAAGTGCCTGAGTGCAGGAATAAAATAAGGATTATCTTACATGTCTAAACCAAATCAGAATGTTTACTCCAGAGAAAAGGCAAGTACATTTCCAGCATCACTGACATAATACTGCTTGTTTTTAGAAATACAAACAAAGGTCACATTAAGCCACGGTTAGGAGGAGGAAAAGGTAGCTGCCCTTCAGAAGTGTATCCATTCAGAGAAGAAGTCAAGGAGAAAATCATTCTTCTCTGACTAATGCAGTGTAATTGTTTTCCTCATGATGGTGCCCCTCCATTTTCCTCCCTTCAGAAGTTCCCATGGTTACGAAAGGATGTGGTATGGACTTATATTTTTTCAGAAAGGATGACAAGTCACAGGGATGCAAAATGACTTCCTGTGGTTAGTTTGAATTTGTCATTTTGCTTTTAAGATTTTTCTATTGGCCCACTTAACCCAGCACCTCATAAAGAATGACACGGTGGAGTTAAAGGAATGCCTATACATAAAAATAGGAAATGCCAGGTAGCAACTTTAATGCCATTATAGTTTTATACTACATATTCCCCAAAAAGATGCAGGGGTTTACTTGAAAGAATTCGTAAGAATCAAAAACATAGTATACTGTTCTTTCTTACGCACTATTTAGAAGACTTAGATTGCCAAAAAAAAAGTATGTATGTTTCTTAGTTCTATGCGTGGAATTTTAAGTTGAATCTATATATCCTAAAATGTCTTTAATCAAGAAATTTTATAAAAGGTTTTCTTTTAATGAGAGGTAACATTAGCTGAACTGAAAAGGAAGGGAATTTTGCTTCCTTCTCAATGTAATGTTTGTCCTTTTTGCTGACAGGGAAATGATAGCCACGTGTTCCTAATGAGGAATCAGAAAATGCTCCTCCCCAAGCCTGCTCACCTCAGAACCAGGAGATGCACACATATGGGGATAATGAAATAAACATAAATTGGGCCAAAGAACAGTGTCAAACAGATGGATGATCATCGAGGTTCATACAGACTAGATAGGGTTTGGGAGGTTTCATTTCCTTGTTATGTGACTAGGAGTTTTTATGACTTCTGCCACTTAAAGACACATCCCTTTTTTCCTATTTGATAAATTCAAATCTTTTACCTAGAAGACTTTCTGCCATCTTTGTTCATGCAGATTTAAACAGGGCAATCAGCCACATCAGATGTTGAGCTGTGAGGCATGATTTCATTTCAATAGACTTCATTAAAAACTATAAAAGGATATCCAAATGTTTTTCATTTAGCTACCTTAGAGTTAAGAAAATGCAGTGTAATGACTATCCATAAAATCTAGCACTGCATTCCACAGAGCTGCAAGGCTTCTAGGTATCTGTACACAGTCTTCTTCACTGAGGGTTACAAGTTTAATAAATTGATCCTTTTTCTGGGTACATTCTACTTAGGCACCCTGCAAAGCTATAGACTGAGATGGTATGTACCACTTTGCTGTGGCTAACACACTAAAATGGACAATAGCAGCATCAGCAGAGAGCATTTTAACAAAAGTAGCCTAGGGATTTATTTTTGTTGGTTTGGTTTTCCAAAGCAACATACTTGGTTCATTTCTTGTATTCCCTTTTTAAGCCCTATGACTTTGAACAGGTATCAAGCAGGTCATCTACCCAAATAATGAAAATGCATTAAAAATAAAAGTCCTCAAGGGAATATAGGCCTAAAGCAGTGGTCAATGAGTGTTTAGTGCCACCTCTGCCGTTACTGGGCAACTCTCTCAGGACTGAAGAAACCACCACTTCAACTACCAAAGTCTGCAGGAGTCCATGCCTCTGTTCATTGTGGAATTAGGTGGACAGTTAAAAGCCTTCTGGAATTCTTCAAAGTTACTAATGGCACCATTGACCCTGAAAAAAAGGTATGACAAAGTACATGTCATTTAATTCATACACATTAATAGTTTCTTGATTAAATAATAATAACAGAATATTATTAGAAGGGAGCTTTGCATTCATTTAATCTGTTCATAGGGAAGACAAGTAAAGCCCCAAATCAGTAAGTAAATTTCCAAAGAAATTAACAGCACTGAGAATAGAACTAGCATCTCCTCAATGTCAGGCAAATATTCCTATTACTCTTCCAACATTTTTCAAATTCCTATAAAATTGTATCATCTCCAATACCTAATTTTCCTAACTTTTTAAGAAAATTACTTTTTGTGGAAAACATAACTTACATAAAGTATGCAAGTCTTAAATACAGAATCCACAATTTTTTTCACATGTACCCATGTTACTACCACTCAGATCAAGACAGGATATTTCTGGCACCTGGAATGCTCTTTTGTGTCCCCTACTTCTAAAAAATAGCTACTATTTTAGACTCTATCACCATAGCCTTGCCTGCTTTTGAATGTGAATGGAATCCACAGTCCGTAGGCTTTTGTCTTTGACTTCTTCACTCAATATAATGTCTATGAGAGTCATCCATGTTGCTGCATTTCCAACTACATTTAAAGAATTCAATCTACAAAAGCATTTTCTTTAGATTCCCATTAGGTTTGGAGGCTTACATTTACCTAGAATTTGGTTACTGCAGAAATCAATTAATGAACAGTATCTAGTTGTTACAAATGAGTAATTCTTCACTGGATTTTTAGCTCCAAAATCTGGTGTTCTTGAAAGTTCCTGACTGCAGTAAACACTGTGACTTTTCCTACTCAGAATTTGGATTGTATAACTGGTATTTCCGTTGTGTGATTTTCACTATACTTAAAATCTCTAGTTACTGCAGACATCAGTACCAAGCCAGGCAAAAAACTGCCCCCTCATTTATTTCTTACTCAAGTGCATGTTCAAAGTGTTGACTAGAAACTCAGCATTCTCAGTCACTGACTATTTCTTCTCTAATGACTTTGTTACCTACAGGCATTTGAATGGATGTAATGGCCTGTATCCAACAAATCCTCATAACCTCTTGTGTTTTAGCTGGGTTGTATGAGTAGGGATGCATATTTCATATTTCATAGTGTGATTCACTTAGGCAAGTGTTAAAGATAGAATATAGCTGATAATTAGTAAGCACACTCTGTAAATTAGTAGCTAAAATCCAAATTATAGGCAACTAGTTAGAAAAAGGAAATTAGTTTCTAAGGCTTATCTGTCGAGTAATTAGTCTACCGTGTGGTTTCATCTGCACCATTTGTCAGTGGGAGAAAATTTTAGTCCATTAGAAACTGTCAGCCTTCATGACAGTTTAGCCCAGTGGGGGAGAATTTCCAACACAGTGATTAGATTTTTATGCTAGTGGATAATTTATAGTCAATTTTTGAAGCATTTTTTAAGGAAATGTTTTAGGAATAAGATTTTAAAATATAGAAGAAATTTTAGATGAATTTCTTGCAGTATGCTAATAGATTCATTTAAATATTAAGTATAAAGATATCCTGGTATGACATGTTCTAGCCAAAGAGTGAATAACTGTACATTATTGTGGCTCTTTGGATTTCGCATTATAAAACTATCTGTCCTCTACTATAGAAAATTTATTTCAAGCTATGGAATCTAGCACAGGATAAGTAATATCAATCTTAATTGATATTACTTATCAATTAAGTAATATCAATCAAAAGTAATATCAATTTTAAAGGATTATGAATTAAATAATCCTTTTCCCTTCAAATATAAGCAGTTGTTTTAAAATATGATACAAGATGAAATGCAAAATGCAGTGTCCCTGACTCTAGATGTGAATTATAATTGCTAAATATCACCATATATCTGCTTGTGTTCAGAACTATTCAGAAAGAGGGCAGTCATTCATGTGTGTTGGTTGATTATGCAAAAAAATAAATACATAGTATTAAATAGGATATCCCTTAATAGGAAATAAACGAGAGCTCTAGGTGTTTTAAGGCAGAATACATCAGATCACATCCTCTTTTGAGAAAACAAATTCTGTTCTTATTTGGTCCAGACCAAAAAAAAAAAAGTGGGTTTATAAATTGAGTATTCCAGTTTACTGAGCACCTATGGTGCTCAAGACATCTATGGATTGTTGCCTTCCAAAAGCTACAAGATAATAAACAGAATTTAGTACTAAAACTATGATTTGGATTGCAATTATTTTTGGAGCCTTCCAGATCTCTTGATGCAACACTAGACTAGAGATGTGTACAAGTGCCTGCCAATAGAAATTTAGTTGAGTAAACCAGTTTACTACTAATGAAAGCAATGATGCTTACTTTGTGTTTGACCAGATTTTGTTGTCTACAAAATGGATGTCATACAGTTCACAATACAGGGTTTTGTTCATAAAACCTATCTAGCACTGGGATAGCTGGGAATGGGGTGTGTGGAGAGCAGGGAGATACACAGTTAAAAATTGGTGTCACCCATTTGCCCATTTACCTAAATTGAGGGGGGCTGTGAGCACCAATTTGAATTTGTTCTCTGGCAGCTTCTGGTCTGTAGGAATTGCACCTCACCTAGAAGAGAAAGGCATCCCAATAAATGCATTTCCATTCCATTTATACATTTTCTATTTTAACTGTTCCAAATTATACTGAAGAATAATTTTAGAATCAATGGATGACAAACAGCTTTAGTAGATCAGATAAAACCTTCATCAGTAGTAACATCTTATTCTAATCCCCAGAGTAGAATATGAATAATTCCACAATTTCAGCAAATTAGGAAGGTTTACAGACAAGTGCTTCAAATCAAAGGAATCATATATGTGCCCAGTAATCCACCTATGTATTCACTCAAGTAATTTAATGCTTTAAATAGCCTTTATCAAATTTAACCATCCTCATTTGAATCAATAGAATGAATCAGCCATACAAAATTGATTATGGTCAGAGAAGTTATACATGGCTATCTGACTTTTTCTAACCAGTAAATATGAGCAGAAGTTATATATGTCACTTCCTAGCAGAAGCTTTAAAAAACTGACAGAAATGTTAATAGCCTTAAGAACGATTTAACATGCTACCTTAAAGGCCAATGCATAGTTCCTCATATTTCCTTATTACTCTTGTGGTGTTCATGGAAGTATGTGTCAAGATAAAGATTCCAAAACTCAGGTCCTTGAGTAAAAACTAGGTGCGGAGCCCCACTTCTAGCACGTGTTGTACATGGAGCATGAGCAAGAAATACACTTTTATAGTGTCGCTTGTTTCTGCAGCACAATTTAATACTGACTTGTACATGTTGAAATATGATAGTCTTGAAGTATGAATAGAACTAGGACACATGAATGTGGGGGAAGACATTCCAAGTGGAAAGGGAAATGAGAAAATGATTGGAGCCAGGGATGAGGCATGGCATGCCGCTTGGCTGAAATATATGCTACATAGCGAGCAGCAGTGAGTGACCAGGGAAGAGAGAAGATTGTGCCAGATTTTTGAAGTCCTGAGCTACATGCCAAAGTGTCTGAATTACATTTAAACATTGTTCTTGAGCAAGAAAATAAAATCTATATTTTTCAAAGATTTTTATGGTGGGGGTGTTTAGAAGGAAGAAAAAATTAGACACTAGTTAGATGATTTTTAGGCAATTAATGTCCACTCAATAAGTGGAAACAGGGATGGAAAAAACTAGAAGGATGAGAACAACACTTGTAAAAAACAAATTGACAGGTCACAGCAACTATAGGGACAGAGAAAACAGGAAAGGTGATGTGATGCTATTGTTTTTGATAAAGAGAAACAATCAGTCACTATGCTTTGGAATTTGATTTTGAAGATGTTCTTGTAATTCCTTAATTTCCTCAGAAGCTAGCTAATGTGAACTGGTTTTGGGCATTTGATTTTACCTCATTTCTTTTTATATACTTACATGATTATATAGTACTGTTTTTGTTTTATATATCATTTAAGAGCTTTCTGAAAACACATTAGAGTTGTTAGTGTTTTCATAGTACCTTCCAGGAGGGAAAATAACTTTATTCCCTATAAGCAGACTTACTCCAATGTGCAAAAAATTGAAAAATCATAATATGTCAGTGAGAAAAGCTCTAAGATAAATTTCTCATTAGTGATAAAAATAGCTTTACACTTTTTTCCTAAATCTCCTCAGCTTAAAATAAATCAGGAATGGTTTGGTATTATATTTGGAGACATTTCAAAATCATAATTATAACATCACTATCAATTAGTTTATTTTATTTACAAAAAGACATTATTGACAGGAATGTAAACAGTAAGAACTGATGGACCCTTGTACCTTGTCCTCTGGATCAGAGGTTAGCAAACTTTCTGTAAAGAGATGGATGATAAATATTATAGGCTTTGAAGACTATAAGGTCCCTGCTTCAACTACTCAGTTCTGCCACTAAAACACAAAACTAGCCACAGACAAAGATAAATGACAGTGTAATTATTTTCCAATAAAACATTATTTATAAAAACAGGCAGCAGACCATATTTAGCCCCAGTTTACCAACCCTAACTCTAGAAAATTCTATTATTCTTGAGCACTCATATTAATATCTGACCCAGTACTGAACGAAAAAGAAGTCTCCTTAGTCGAACTGTGTTAGTCTTATCCTTTAAAACCAGTTGGTCTAAAAATATCAAGTGTCTTCAATTCATCCAGCTTCTTTGCTGGGTGTTTTGGAGGTATGTAAGAAGTGTAAGGATCCAGAAGATTAGCTGTGGAGATAAAACTGAAAGTCTTGAACATTTTGAAAGCAATTAAGTATTCAACTGCATGATAATGAAGGTAAGTGTATAAAAGCAGTTAGAGATAAAAGAAAATAATGAGGACTGGAGTCCTTGGGGAAGAGTTTATGGAAGATGTGGAGGAGGTAAAACTCGACATGGATCCTGTAGGATGAGCTGGGATTGAATACTTTGAGGGGGAAGAGTAGAAAGGAGATCACATCATAAAAGAAGAATCAGAAGCAAGGCTTGGAGACAGTAATGGGAATGATATTATGGGATGAAAGTGAAGCTACCTGCCCGGCTAAGACTGAATTTTTCTCATCCAATGGAGCTGTGGGAAATTAAAGAGGATCAGATGGAGTTGGATCAGAAAGAGAACTTTGAAAGCCAGATGGAAGTGTTTGACCTCAATGTGGTAGGCATTTGGGAACCTTTTTGGTAGATCAGTAATGAGATAAAAGTGGTATTTCAGTGGAATGTAAAAATGATGGTAAAATATCCCAAAATCAGGAAAACAGGCCATAAGGCTGCTTTGATAATCCATAGGAAAAGATATAAAGGTTTAGCCTATAGGTGATGAGAAGGGGTAACAGAGACTGAATGTTTATGTCTCCCCCCAAATCATATGTTAAAACCCTAGTCCCAATGTAATAGGTCTAGGTCGTGGGTCCTTTGGGAAGTATTAAGTCATCAGAGTGGCACCCACATGAGTGGGATTGGTGCCCTAATAAGAGCTGGCCAAAGAGCTAACTAGTTCTTTCTACTACATGAGGAAACAGCAAGAGGTTAGCAGCCTGCAACCCAGAAGAAAGCCCTCACCATAACCCATCCCTACTGGCATCCTGATCTCAGACTTCCAGCCTCCAGAACTATGAGAAATAAATTTCTGCTGTTTATAAGCGACTCAGTTTATAGTACTTTGTTACAGCAACCTGGAATGCCTAAAAGAGGGGGAGAAGGAGAGGTTGCATCTGACAAGCATTTAAAAGAATGAAACATCCAGCTTTGGATGCATACGTCATAAAAAGAGGATAGTTAAATCAAAATAAGACTTAAAAATCCAATCTTTCTAATCAGGGAGATGTCAAGATTTGCAGGGGGTTGGCGGAGAAGGGGTTGGCAGACATAGGAAAACCGGAAAAGTTAAAAGGAAGGTCATTTAGTTGGTGACTATGGTTTAGTTGATATCACAGTGATAAATGATAATTGGGTTTTTTTGTTTGTTTTCATGTTCACTTTAAGAAATAAAAGATCCCATCTCCCAAGTCTTCTTTTTCCATTGAACCAGGGTCAACCAGGGAAGGCTTGGGATGAATGAGCTTACTAAAGAATGAATGCAAAGACTTGGGAACAAAAGCTTGTACTGATGAAAACTTTTGTCTAGCTTTGAGCATGTACATATGCATTTGCCCCACTGTGAGGCCATGCGTTAGTACCTTCATCAACATATCCCCAGCTTCCCTGAAAATGTTGTCTATATGTTTGTTACATAAATCAGTATAATAACCAGTTATAAAGAATTGGCACTTTTCTCATCAGGCAAAGATTCAAACCCAGAATTGTGCCTTACTTAATGCACATCTTCCTTTGAATTTCTACTGAAAGAACCTATTAAATACATGAAAGAATGACATAGCTTTCCATGCCTTTGTTATTCTTTTTCCTACTCTAGTAGTCCTTGCATATTCATTTCACAGTTGGGAACCCAGACATGAGGGTCCCCACAGGTTAAGAGTAACAGAATAAAGTCAGCAAATTAGGCAAAGGAGAAGAAGAAAAGTAGGAAAGGGCAGGGCCATGAAAGCCAAAGAACAAGTTACTAGAAATGATTACAAATAGTATTGAATACATTCAAAAGTCAAGATATACTGAAAAACTCACAATTGCAGTAAGTTATGATAGGGTTCATGACCCACTTGATAAAAAATACCAATAAACCTTGATTCAAGCAATTAATTATTCAGGCTCCATAGAACAGTGAGAAGGTGGTATTTATCCTGAAAATAATCAGCAAGATAAAATTTTGGCTAAAATCCAAGTCATATTATTAAACTTTTATTCCACACCTTTGATTAAGGACACAAGCTAAAGTCTCACATTTCAACTTTGATGCCCTTTCATCAGTATACTCACATGAGCATAACTCAGGAAGAAGAGCTGGTTGTTGGTGAATGCTATGCCTGGCAGGAGTGGCTCCTCAACACCCTGCCTTCTGTCGTTTACCCATTTCCTGTAAGCCTAGTGGAAGAAGAAGAATGGATGAGCCTCTGCAATGATTTTTTTTCTCTTTTCTTATCCAGCACAGATATCAAATGCACATTCCTGCCATGTACAAAATGCATTGTGTCAAGTTTGCCTTTAAGAAAATCAACACCTGGAAATGCAAGTCAATTGTGCTTTTTGCTTAATAGAAAAGCAGGTGAACCTTCAAAAGACCTTATACTCCATAGACACCATATCAGCTGGGCCAAAGTGTTCAGATGTTAAATAATTCTTTAAAACGGATCATTCCATTTTATCATGTGACAAACAAATCTAACACCATGGCAAGGCCCCTATGGCAATAAATTTGGGGGTTGACATATTATCAATTATTTCCCAACTAACAGGAAAAGCTATCATCTTTATCATTATTGTTTTATAAAATAAAAATATTTTGACTAGAATATAGGAAGGTTATAACCTTGAAATAACAGCCTGGTCTTTAAAGTGAATGCATTTCACTTTATGACCCTTTCCACGTTACCCATAGGTTTCTTGTTTAACCACAGACCAATGCATGATGGAAACACTATTATGGACCCTCACCTGGCCCAATATATGACAACCACTAGCTTCTGGTCATAACTTGAAGTTCAGTATTTTAAGAGAAAATTATAAGGAAGGACATAAAGAGAACTGTACTCAAGGAAAACTCATATGAAACTAGCCCCAAGGAGATTTCTGTAAAATACTTTTGTATGAATTTGAGTGTATTTTCTGAAAACTATCCTTTAAACACACAATTCTCAATAAACATTATTCTTTAGGATGATTTTATACCCCAAAAGGAAAAAAATGCAACTGTATTTATCTAATAGAGTGTAATAGAGTCAATGGGGAAATACAACTCGATTTACAGAAATTCCAGAATACCAGACTCCTTAACATGTCTGCAGTATAAATTGAAGTGCACCCATTCAGGCTTTTATAGCTTAATTTTTAAAACTACAGCAAATATAGAAGTGCATACCCTAAAAGCTTCTCGCAGACCCCCATTATCAGCAATATTTTCTCCCAGGGTCCTCTTCCCCTTCACCTAACAAAAAGAAAAAAAAAAGAGTGTTTCACAGTCAACTATCATTCAGCAAGAGGCATAAATACTATAGCAAGCAAAAGTGTCATATTTTAAAGAGAAAATTATACTCAATAAATCAGAGGTAGTCATAATATATTGTGAGATGGCAAACTAACCCCAGCAAAGTGCTTCTAAATATAATCATTTCTACTTTATTACGCTACACCTTACTTTCTCACCCACCTCTTTATTCTCACCAATTTAGCCAGCTCCAATAAAATGTTAACAATATTCTCAGTGACTCTGGTTTAATAGGAAAAAATAGAATGTCAATACACAGATTATTTTCTCTGATTAACTCACATAATTTGAGTATTCTTTTCATTGTGCCTGTGTTTCCAAAAATTTTCTATCCACACAGGAAATAGATTTCAGAACCAACTATTATCATTTTACTTTCAGCAATTTCCATGAAAAATTAAAAGGAGGGTAGTTCTCTTGGGGAATAAAAATCAAATAGAAATGGGGCAGACCACAAGGTCAAGGCTTGCAATATGCATGACACCCAGCCAAGCATGGTGAAGAAATTCTTCTCAACTGTTTCTTAAAACCTTATATGAGCTTGATGAAACATTCTAAATCTATATAGCTCACAGCCAAAGCCAACCTGTCACTTGTTTATGCATATGCTGCAAGGTATGACTGGATTTTACATTTTCAATGATGGGGGAATCAAAAGAATAACAGTATCTTGTAGCATATGGAAATTACATGAAATTAAAATTTCAGTGTGTATAAATCAAGTTTTATTGGAACACAGCCAAGCCTATTCACATACACACTGTTTGTGTTTGCTCTCTTGCTACAATGGCAGAGTTGCAGCAGACTACAGCCCCCACAAACTGTGAAATATTTACCAACTGATCTTTTACAGAAAAGTTTGCCAATCCCTGTGTAGTAAGCAGAATACTGGCCTACCAAATGTGTCTATATCCAAATCCCAAGAACCTAGATATATGTTACTGTACAATGGCAAGGGGGACTTTTAAGATGTAATTAAGTCAAGGATCTCGAGATGGGCACAGTATCCTGGATTATCTAAGTAGGTCCCTTATAATTATAAAGGTCTTTATAAGAGAAATGAGGCAAGAGAGTATCAGAAGGATGCAACAGGAAAAGACTCCACCATTCATTGCTGGCTTCAAAGAAGGAAGGGCCATGAACCAAGGACTGCAGGTAGCGTCTAAAAATTAGAAAACACAAGGAACAGATTCTCCCCTATTATTTCTGGAAAAGGACACAGCCCTGCTGACACTTTCATTTTAGGGCACTGAGACTTGTGTCACACTTCTGACATACCAAAACTGTTCAATAGTAAGTTTGTGTTGTTTTAAATTACTAAGTTTGTAATAATTTGTGACAAACATCCACAGAAAACTAATACACCCTACTCTAAACTTTCAAGCCAGAGTCCTACCAACTCTTTACTTTTAAGCTAGCCTAGTCACTGAGGAATTAAACATACCAACAAATGAAAATAAATCTTTGGCAAATATTAATTACTGTAATCACCCAGGATCCTCCCAAAAGTTACCATTCCTGTTTTACATACATTCTTTCTTTTACTATAAGACTATGAGGTAAGAACGATTGTCACCACCCTTGCTTAACAAATAAGGATCTGGATCACTGGGTGTGCAGCAGATGTTGTTGGTATCCTACCAAATCCCCTTTTCTACCAGGACTATGTATTCATTCCTGCAGCAGCCAACAGCTTCAGGATTAGCCTTAGTTTATGGGTATCGTACCTGGAGATTGCTGGGAGGTCATACTCCATCTTCCAGTAACTTACTGATGTGCAAGTGAACAGCCCAGCTCCTTGCCCCTGGGCTGAACAATTTCTATGGTACAATTCATGCTTTAGAACCCTCTGTGGATTCAGGGTAAGGCTAAACTTGCTTTAAAACCATGTGTTCCTCACTTCCTTACAGGCTTCTTATAAAACTACTTCCTCAATAAATCACTGACCTAAGGAACCCCTTCTGGGCTTTTGTGTCTAGTGAACCTGACCTGAGACAGTGATTAAGTGAGCTGCTCACATTTATCAGGGATTCAACCCAAGCAGTCTTTGGTCTCTAGAGCCTTTGTTTCTTAATATGTATCTTCTCAAGTTTGAACTCCTCCTGGCTATAGTGTTTATATTTACATCCACTTATGCTGGAATCTACCTCCTTCCTTTAGACTCAAGTTTTATACCTAAATTGGACACTTTTGGAGTAGCCTCACCCCTCTGGCCCTTTATACTCTGGACCATCTCAGTAGAGCACCTGGCCTGAGTTTGACCTCTCAGGACTCACCATCTGCTGGCAGTCTGCATCTGTATCTGTGGTGACCCACCTAAACTGTTCCCCATTCACTGCAAAGAAAAAGCCAGAAGCAGAGGACTAGCTCTTACAACTGAAACCAGAAAAATTAAAAATGGGCCTTTATGTCCACAGAAGAAGCCACCCACTCTCCTGTGGGAATGACACTGAAGCTGTTTTCTGATGGCTAAGCGGATTTATGCTGAAACATGCATGCCCTTTCTATTGTCCTTGTAACAAAGATACACGTTTGTCAGAATTAAGTTTCAATAGCTGACACTTTGGACAAAATGGATACTGAAGAATAGTTCACCCATACATAACCCAGATACAACATGAACTTGAAATAAGAGAACCAAATTATGATCTGGGGGACGCAGTATAGATTCTAGAGTCAAACAGATCTAAATTAATCTAGACTGCACTATGGGCATTAATCTCTTTAAGCCTCAGTTTCCTCAAATGTAGAACATATATATCTAGTAATATGACAGGACTGGTTATGAGGATTACATTCATTTCACTTCAGTTAAAAGTCTAACTTCCATGCCTATGTATATTGCCAGGAAATATTTGTTTTCTTCCTTCAAGAAAACTGCCCTGGTATTGTTTTTATCAGTCCCAGAGTCCTTAGTTTGTTTTCTCCCAGGGAGGAGTAGCTATGAGTATGCCGCAGAGGATCAGGAATATTAACTGCGTGTTACTAAGAACTTCCTGCATGGCGAGCATTATGCATTATATTACTTTATTCACTTAATTCTTCCTACAAACTAATAAAGTCAGAAATGTTTACCCATTTCACAGATGAAGATGCTGAGACTCAGGAATATTAAGTAACATATCCATGTTCCTAAACCTAGAAATTTATCCGTGTATAAGAGATTCTAACTTTTCTTTGACATACAATAATTGTGCATATTTTGGGCTACAATGTGATATTTAGATTCAAGTACACATTGTGTTATGATCAAACCAGAGTAATTAGTGTATCTATCACCTTCAACTTTTATCATTTCTTCATGGTCAGTATATTCAAAATCCTCTCTTCCAGCAAATTGAGATATAGAATGCATGATTGTCAACTATAATTATCCTACTGTGTTATAGAACATAAGAACTTATTCCTTCTTCTGAGATCAAATGAAATCGTACTCATAGACAAACTTTTCCCCACCCTCCTTCCCTGCTACTCTACAGTCTCTGGTGACCACCATTCTACTCTCAATTTTTATGACATTCTAATTTTTTCTTAAGGTGCTAGGGATGGAACCCAGGGCTTCATTCATGCTAGGTAAGTGCTCTATCACTGAGCTATCCCTCCAGCTTGATATCTGAATTTTTGACATTATATTCAGAGAAAAAAAAATTCTTTTAATAAATAATGCTGGATCCATTGGCTATCCTTTTAGAAGAAAGTATAGGTAAATTCTCATATTAAACTTCATAGAAAATTAAATTTCACAGGAATGAAGATTTAAATGAAAAATAACAAAACAAAATAAAACAAAACTTCCCAGAAAAACTAGGAGACTCCATGAACGATGTAGGCATTAGGGATGTCCTCATAACTAAGAAGAAATGCAAAAACTCTTCTACAAGATATAAGTATTTTGAATTTATAAAAAAAAGTTCACACTTTGTATGTCAAGAGACACCATAAACAAAGCCCAAAGGATGTGTAACATATTAGGGGGTAAATACATATAATATAAATAATACACAAAATTTTAACATTTATACTATTATTTTTAAAGGCTCTTCAGAAATTAAGAAGAAAATAAAAGCTCAATTAGACAAATGTCCTTTCATCTGTCACTTGGGGAAATATGAAATTTTATAACTTTCTGGTGACAGTAGAAATCTAGCCTATAGGGAGAAAAGAATATGCACATAATGAAAGTATTTATTGCATTAGCATTTTATTATTGGAAGGTGTACCCCTCAACAAGAGGTGAGTTGACTAAACTATAGTATATTCCCACCAGGGCCATTAGAAATAATGAACTAAAGTTGCATGTGTGTGTCTATCTTTACATGAGCATGGAAAAATATACATCAGGTTTATTAACACTGATTACAAGTAGGGGAGGTAAGAATGACAAGAGGGAAAGGCAAAGGGGAAGGAGACAAATGGAAGTCAAAGCAAGAAGGGGAGGGAGTGGGTGGTAAGGGAGGGGGTGGGAGCAGGGGGGAGAAATGACCCAAGCTTTGTATGCACATATGAATAATAAAACAATAAAAAAAATTTCACACATATAAAGCATGTATAAAATTTCATTTATGCATTTATGGAAATGATATGTGTGTATGTAACAGAAAATAAATGCTTAAAATAAACATTTCTTTTGTTAAAACTTCTATAACCAAGAACCCTCAACCAATTCTCAGACCTGTTGTTCAAATTAATGAAGTTTAATTTCAGTGAATTAAACCTAAGCAGTAGTTTGGATAGAAATTTTCTAAACGATGTGGAATGTAGGAGATTTATACAAATAGTATTTATACTCCAGGATTTTCAACATCAATCTGAATCTAGGCAAACAAACTAATGTTTAGGCCTGTGATTCTCAAACTTTAGCTTATGTTAGAATCACCCAAGGGTTTGTAAAAAGACAGACAGACAGACTGCCAGACTATCAGGCTTCACCCCTAGAGAGTATGATTCAGCATGTCTGGGGCTGGACTCGAGAATTTGCATTTCTAACAAGTTCTTAGGGAAGGCAGATGTTGGTGATCTCAGAAGCACACTTTGAGAGCCAATGGTCTAAAGCAAGCTAATGTCCAAATGAGGAAAAATGGCCCATAAGATGCCCCCTTAACCACAGTTGTACTCACATTTAAGCCAGCTTTCTTCCAATAATAGTTACTATACTGGTTAATCATGCACTTTGTTTTTTCCTTAAACTTTTCTTCTGAGTCCACAGACCACCAAGGATCCAGATTTCCATTTTTATCGTATTTTCTACCTAGCGAAAATGAAGTTAAAAGACATTTGCATTATTTATGAAAACTAAACTCTTTGTCTTTCCTTTTCCTCACAAAAACAAGCTTTCAAAATGCAGTTGCAATGACAGGGAACACTTCCTGAGAGCAACTCCTGCATTCTCGAGTTATTTGTAAAAACCGGGAAACGAGGAAGAGGATTGAAGAAGGTCTTTCCTTCTAAGGAACAAAGGGCATTTTTAAAATGAGATTCATCAATTTAAAACACGCACCAGTCTTACCCAATTTGGATTCTGTGTTTTCACCTCATTTGACACGAAATGCTCTCTGGATCATGAGATTAAATGCCTTTATTCAGAAAGCCAGTGGAGGAACTCAAGCGCCACTACTAGTGAAATTCCAAACAATCCATAGGAATAGCCCTAATGAGTCATCCACACAATAGGACCACAGACTCTGACTCAGCCTTATAGGAACCTGTTTCCTCTAAGTTGCCAGGAGCCAACAGACACATAAACCTTCTGCTATGAGTCATTCCACAGTCATCAGGGTGGATGGAAGATCCATCTGTCCTGCTTGGACAAGGAAAGTTGCTCTAAAAAGAGAACTTGAAACAGGAATGGAAATCTCCAGAACATAATGGGAAAAAAAGATTAGTTATACATGATTTCTTAGCACATGCTCACTTGCTCTTCATTTTCTCTACATCCTTCAAAACAACAGTTTGGGTACATTTACACAATCTTCTATATTCAATCTTACTATTGAATCAGAGGCATAGTTTTAATTTAATTATGCAGATAATTTATAAGAAATTCCTCTAAGCAATAGTACCCTAACAAAGAGGGCTTAAAAGGAAGAGCTTACAAGGAAGCCCCCCAAAAGCCAAGACATTAATTGGAACAATCCAAATCTCTTTAGCAAGGCTGCATGTTACTAACACCACTCCTTCGGGTCACTGCCCTCCACCCACTAGCCAACCAATCATTACATAGTTATTGGACATGTACTGGCTACCAAGCGAAATTGCCATCATTAGATTCTGTCTTTTGGGAAAGACTATAGACAGACTCCAGCATGTTCTACAGGAGAAATGTACCTAAATTTCTTAGGAAGAAAGATCCAGAACCAATTGCGCACCACTTGTTTTTGTTTCTCAGTTGATTCTCATCTCAGATAGACCAAACACCCTAAGGCAGAAAGTCTAGCCCTGGTGAGTAAGATGACTACAAGGCAGCTACATTTTAACAAGGAAGGGGAGACCAGAGTAGCAAAAAGAACCTAAGTGATTAAGAAAAGTCTGATGGGGGTGGCAGAAGAATTTCTCAGAAGAAAAAGAACCTAAGGGGTCTTCAGTCCTGCAGTAGGCTTGTAGGAAAGGATGTTGAAGACACTACAGGCATAAGAGAAAGGAGTTCCCTTCTAGACAACATTGCCTTGGGCCAGCTGGGTTCTTGAAGCTGGATGTGGTAGTAATTTGCTCCAGAGATTTTTTTTTTGTAGCTTTCCAGTAATGCTCCAAATTTAAAAGAGAAAGGAGCACTGATTAAAAGTAAGGACTTTCAAAGGTGACCATTTCTTTAGTGTAGGCTATGTTCTGCTCCTTCTTTTTGCTTAAATGTCCTAAAGATACACAGCATGTTCTGAATTGTGCATTATTAGGAAAGCAACGCCTTTTTAAAACAAATTTTGGATAGAAGCCAATTCAAATAAAAAATAGAGATTAAGTATTGTATAATCCTGGAAATTGTATAAAAGAACCAGTGAGTCATGCTTCTAAAGCCTAACTTCACAGTGCTACACATACAATCATCATTGAGGCAGAGCTCACACCTCAAGATGGTAAATTTTTTAAAATGACAAAGAGGAGAAGCTATAATACAATTCCTGCAACTATTATGACTGCTACAGCAATTCTGATCCAAATGCAAAGGTAATTTTATTGAAACTACAAGGACATTTTTTGCATTCTGTCCTGATCGCCAATGGGAATACTTGTTTATTTATTGCAAGTGATCACAGCAAGACATGAGAGCAAGTTTTCAATCAGCAATCATATTGCTTTGGATAATCTTCAATCTATGATGATGCCACTATGCAAAGATAATAACACCAATTAACACTCATATAGTCAACATTATTATAAAAACAACAGCTCATAAAATGAACTTACCATTATTATCAAATCCATGTGTAAATTCATGGCCAACGATTACTCCTATAGCACCATAACTCAGAGATCTATGTCATAAATACATAATTTGGGGAAAATTAGAAGCATGAATCCGAGAGTATAATCAACTTTAATTTTTCAATGGAAAGCCAAGATAATCTGTTTTCTGGTAACTATAGTAATAAAAATCTAATAAGCATACCCATAAAACTATAAAGCAAATTGTATAAACATACCCTTCTAATTGAAAGGGACAAAGAAAGTATAAATTCTAACATAGTCATTGTGACCTTATGTGGACCCTTGAAATTAGGGATATAAAAGAGGTGATTTCTCAAGTCCCTTCTAGCCCTGAGACCTCTATGATTCTGTATCTGTTCTACAGATATTTTATATTTATGAATATCTAAAAACAGGGCTTGAAAAAGATCCTGTCAGTAAACAGACTATTTTTTATCTGAGAACTTGAAAAGTTTTTCTAATCTTAGAAGTTAAATTATTTTCCAAATGTAGTCATAAAAAAGGAATAGAGCAGAGATTAAAAGGGATCACTCTGTTTTCAAAGATAGTCACGTTCCTCTGTTTCTGCAGCAGATAAGCTGACAACTGAATAGCAAAGACTGTGAAACCTTAATCAGATTTGGAAAAGGCGTTGTATTATTTCTCTTTACCTTTGAAGAGGCATGTGATAGAGTGTATCCATAATAGGGGCCACCATCAATTCCACATGTCCCTGAATGCACATGCCCCCTCTCTCATTAAGAGGTGGTCTATTTCCTTGCCCTAGAATCTGAACTCACCTTGGGACTTGTTATGACCAACAGGACACAGTGGAAGAAGTCAGGTGTGACTTCTGGACCTAACTCTTAAAAGATCTTACAATTTCCATTTTCTACCCTTCCAGAAGTTAGCTACAATGTTCCTCCCAGTTGGAGGAAAAGAGGCCAAGTGAAGCAAGGCAGAGATGCCAAAAGTTAAGAGACTCTGAAAGAAGAGAGAGAGGACCTGCCAGACCCCACCCATTGGACTAAATGAAGTCTTAGATCATCCAGCCTTATGGAGCTGCCCCAGCCAACAAGGGACAAGTTGTCTCAGCTTGGTCCTGCCCAAATTGCAGAATCATGAACCAATAAATGGCTGCTTGATGGTGCTTTGTTACATAGCAATAGATAACTGAAACAAAACACACATATAATATATGAAGAAATCAATAATGAGGTTTCCATATGTGTGTGCCTGGGATTTTCTGTGTCGATTATAATTTCCATGCAGGCCAGACCCTTATCTACTTGGTCACTGCTAAATACTCTGTACCTAAGTAAACACTGAGAGTTAACAATGATTTAACTAATGATTGATTAACTTTACCATTCCATACAAGTGACAGGTGTATATGTAACTTATTTAAGCCATTTAACCTGTGGGTGAGGATTACTGACGATTTAGGATGATTAGTATGCGGATTCGTCACGAGATTTGCAATTATGCTAAAAATACTTCACACTTGGTTCCTGACAGGCACCATCAAAGTCAACCAGCAAATACATACGACCCATAACTGGAATGAACAGAATTTTTTGAAGCAACATGTTATTCATTATTACAGGACATAATGATCCTTAACGTGCTAATTGTTTGTCTCAACTATGCCCAAGAAAGTGCTCTAAGATTCAATTTTTCCCCTTGTTGGCAATTCTTTTCTTTATTATTTCTTTCCTGCAAGGTAATTTGCATTTGAAAAAAATGCTTCCTACTGTGTTTCCATCATTGCAAACCTTCATTAAAGAAGAGTAAAATTGTGCATTTCAATCATACAGCTATATAGCAGTGTGGGACAAGCTTGTGATTTTACAAAGTGCTAATTTTTGCAGCAGTAGCTATCACTGTGCACCCTGCAACATTTCATTTTTCCAGTTTCTCAGCCCTGTGAGTGAAGTACTAGTACTCAGTCCTCTACATTTCTCAGCCAATGCTATTGACTAGAAGACTTTAAGGTATGAACAATGGAAGCTTACAGAAACTGCTCTGTAATAAATGTCCCCTAAGAGGAACTGCTCCAACAAGCTTCTATTTGCAAAGGATAATAGAGAATTCAGAAATGATTGAAGCATTGTAAGTTTCAATTCTCAGTTACAAAATCACAATCATTTGGACAAGAGACAAAGAAAAAGTAATTTTATACGACTAAGCTTTATAATGATAATGTTTCATAATATTAAATTCACATCCTCCATTTTATCAATGGACATTATTTAAATTAGCATGTCATTAAAAAAACCTCTCATATGTCTTTTATAATATAACTGGCCAGAACTAGAAGACTTCCTACATTGAAGAGCTGTCTTTTATAATATAACTGGCCAGAACTAGAAGACTTCCTGCATTGAAGAGCTAGCCTTCCTGAGGTTAAGGTAAGGGAACATGGTTGATAGACTTCATATACTTATACGAAATAGAACAAAGAAACCTCTTGCAATAGTTTTAAGTGGAGCGGGGAGGGGACCGAGGAGGAGAGATGGTGGGGTGATCTAGCCAATGTACAATATAAGCTTATTTGGAATTGTCACAATGGATCCCTCCTGTACAAAGAACATATCCTAATAAAAAATTAATGGAAAAAAAAAGATCCAGCCTTCCAAGATTAAAGGTGACAATTTTACTACCTACTTATCTTCTCTTTTGTGCCTCCAATGGGCTTAATACATATACAAGTTTTACTGTCAACAACAAAATAACTATACTGCTATCTGAACTCACCATGATCTCACATTTTTTTTCAAGTAAAGATTACCATCTGCTTGAATCAGAAAATTATAAAGACCTCCAAGTTGGAAGTGGCTTTAAGGTTACATAGTTCAACTCTTTAGGAGAAGTGTGAGCTCCTCTATAAAAATCCAGTCAAGCCAGGTGTGGTGGTTCTTGCCTATAATCTCAGCTACTTGGGAGGCTAATACAGGAGAATCACAAGTTCAATGCCAGTTGGGGCAACTTAGTGATAATTTTTAAAAGGGCAAAGTATGGTGGTGTAACAGCTATAATCCCAGCACTGGGGAGGCTGAGGCAAGAGTATTGGGAGTTCCAGGCTAACCTAGGCTACACAGTGAAACACTGTGTCAAAAACAAACAGAAACAAATCCATTCAAATGACCATAAGCTATCTGCTTAGGTATTCCCAATGACTAAGAACTCACCCCCTTCTGAGGTAGCCCATTACCTCTTTGGGTGGTTCTAAGTAAAACAGCTCTTCCTAATGGTGACCTCAAATTTCTTCCCTATGTCTTCAATCTATTATTCCAGTGTAGTCTCTAATATACATGCTGATTCTGCTAAATATAGTAAATCATTCTGCTACTTTAATTTTCTTTCAAACATATTAAAACAGTTACAAGGGTCCAGCCTCAAATGTTCCCAAGTTCTTTCAATTTCTGTATTTCAGTCATGAACTCTAGACTAGCATTTCCAAAAACACAGGGAAAAGACTTTAGGAACCTCTGGGTCAAACACATTTAAATCAGTTTCTAATAGAATTTCTTAGAAGATGAGTACTATGATTCTCCAACACAGAGGGAAGGAAAGGATGACTACTACTTCATGGAACATACACTTTTTGGAAATGTTGTTTAGGTCATTTATAAACCCGATTATTTTCTCTGGAAGCAATTTGGTTTGTTCTTGTCTTTATAATGAGACCCAAGACTCAGGTGAAGGCTAAACTGACCAGCGTGAGTAGAAATGACACCCACTCCTTTGAATCTGCTGGCTGCCTATCAATTACTACATAATGGATGTATTGGAAGCCAGCTCACTGGACTGTAATTCTCATTTACAGCATCTTCATATTCCCAATGCAAAGAACATGAGTGGCTATCTTAATAAAGGATGGATGGCTTTAGCATGAACATAAAACTCTTTTGGAAAAAAATACAATGCTCTCTCCCACTCAAGTATCAACTATGGCTCAGTCTAAGGGAGAACTAATAGACCTTAACAATAATTCCTAAGCATCTATAATTCTGACTCTTATGTCAGAAAAGCATGCTCACGGACCCAATAAACAAATCATTGAATTAACAATTTCCAAATTTAACCAGACTGTTTCCAAGTCTCCAGCTAATTACCACAATAATAGAAGCTTAGTCAAGTTGTTAATGGTAAGCAGAATCAAAGAATTCCAGAACTTTTTCAGTTTGAAGGGATCACAGCGAACAGCCTAAGCATTTAATTTTATGGAACTTTATATATATATATATATTTCTAATTTTAAAAATAGGAAAAATTAATTCCAAATATCTGAATACGAAAGAAAACTATGCATCTGAGTCATGGGATGGTATGAATGGATTTGGTTAAAACCTAGAATTTGCATTTATTTTAAAAGATGGCTTCTCTACAGTAGGCTTTATTGATGCCTCTCATTGTTCCCTCACAGGGTTCACCATGTCTGAGTGCACCAATCCAATTGCTTCTAACTACCAGATTGCTTTTTCCAGCCACCAAAATCTCTTGGCCTAGATTGAGGACTACCAGGGAGTTAACACCCCTGGTGGCAGCCTTCAATTGATGATGGAACATAATATGGAGGATAAACAACCCAGCTCTCCTGTCTCTGAAACATAATGTTAGCAAGACAGAGTCTCAGTTGTCCATGGTAATGACTGAGATAAAGAATAATGGCTTCCCAAAATGTCCTCATGCTAATCCCTGGAACCTATGAATATGTTATGTTACATGGCAAAGGGGAATGAAGGTTGCAGATGGAATTAAGGTTGCTAATCAGCTGACTTGAAAACAGAGATTATCCTGGATTATTTGGCTGGACCCAATGTAACCACAAGGGAAATATCACAATGAAACCACTTTGTACGATTAATTTATGATAATAAAATAAAATTTAGAAATAAAAAGTTGAAATATGAATTAATTCACCAAAACTGTTTTTTGCATTTTTATTTTAAAGGCAATATATGGACATTCACTAGACTATTGGAAATATTCAAAATGAAATTTCATTTACACTTTTTAAAAAGGAGAAGAGAGATGAAATTCAAAAGGAGATGTGACTAAAGCCATGGGCCATGGAATGTGAGCCCCCTCTAAAGCCTCAAAAAATAAAATTAATTTATCCTGGAAAATCCAAAAAAAATGCAGCCCTGCTGACACCTTGATTCAGCTCAGTGAGACCTATGTTGGACTATATGACAATAAGCTAATAAATTTATGTAGTTTTAAGCCACTATGTTAGTGGTAATGCATTTTGGCAATCTTAGAAGATTCATAGGGCACAATTTATTGGCTTTCTTCCCTCACTATCTCACTTTCCGACTCCCTCGCTAGTGTTTTGTGGTAACACGTTCCAAAAGAACTACTTGCACTTGAATCCTTATCACAGGGGCATCTTCTGGGAAACCCCAACTCAAAACACTACTTCTGTAGTTTTTTGATATATATATATGTATGTGATGCTATGTCTTTTTAATGTACATTATCATATATAAGTTGTCATATAACCAAACCAAAACACAAGACTCCTAAAATCAAGGCTAAATTTTCCATGCATTAAAGAACCAGAGCTACACAAAGGCATATATTTGAAAATGAATATTATGAGACCCCCCACTATATATAAAAAGTCTGAATTACATGTCTATAATCTGTTGTTATTAATGGCCTTTAAACAAGTATTTCTAAGTCCAGACACTGTCAATTCAGACCCATTCTATAGCCACTCAGGTTATATTTCTAAAGACAAATTTGATAGTCATAATTACTTGCTCAAAAACTTCAGTATCTTCTCTTGCTTATTAGTGTCCAAGCTCCTCACCTGGCATTCAGAGCCCTCTAATATTAAATCTCAACCTTCTGTTTCAGACTTCTTTCAGACTTATTTCCTTCATGCACCACTTGGAACAGCAAAACTGGACTCCTTGACATTCTATAAACACTTTTCCTTCCTTTTCTCACATTGTTTCTTTACTTGGAAAGATTTTAGACCATCACCATCTACTCGAATGATTAAGTGCATAATAATGAAAAATACCTATGGAGAAGCTGGCTTTCCTGTCCACTTATATACTCTGGTAACAGGGATCAGAAAACAAAGACCTAATAAACAATAAAAAGTCCTAAAATGTAAGAGTACAGCTGACCCATGCTAGGTTCCCTGCCCTCTTTCTGCTGAATAATCATTGACTTTGGTTCTTTGAGTATATTCTGTCCTTTGCCAACCCTAAATGTTCTGCCCTGCTAACTTGTCAGTAACTGGTTTCTTTACTAATTTACTCACCGAGGATATTCTGTTCCCCAAAAGAAAGGCTTCTGGAGTTCTCCTGCTGGAAATCCTGGGGTGAAAGATAAATAAGAAATGTTAAAGGGGATAAAGGGATCAATCCAACAATGAGTCCCTCATTCCAGCTATAGCCTAAAGCTTCCAAATACCCATCTAAAAGGCACTCCTTGTGGAACCAGTGCTCTCTAAGAGATCTAACTAAGTGTGAAGTAAGTGCATGGAATCATTGCAAGGACACAGTTTGCACAGACACACTATTGGCAGTGAACTGGGCTCCTTCATACACAGTATGCACATAGCCTTCAGGGGAGTCAGCAGCGTCTTCTGATGCAGAAAGAGCTCAGCCTCCTGGATGCACCATCCAAGCCCTGCATGCAGAATGGTCCTCCACCTGGTTTAATACTCTGTTGTCAGTTTCTTGAAATTCTTAATACTTGAATCTTGGAGCTTGTCTTTTACACATGAAGTCTGAGGGGACAATGAAGCATGTGTGTGAACAAAGAAGATGCAAATGATATGCAAAGTATAAACTGTCTGCAGTTCCTGGGTGCCCTGCTTGCACACAGCATTCATGATGCCCCAGAACTCCAGGAGGCTTCCACATGTGGGAGTCCACCAAAACATACCTGCAACATAAGCATGTTACTCTGAAACTGAGAGAGTGGGGCCTCGGACAGTCCCCAAAAGGCTATGCTTTCCACGTGAAACCAGAATGTGCTTAGATCACTAAAAGAAGGTAATGGCATTCTATGAAACAAAATGATCAAGGAACTGTGTCATATCCTTTCTTTCTCCTGCTACTTCCCTGTATTGGCCAATCTCTTACACTGAATATAACATGGAAGGAAAGGGAATGAGAAGGTAATCCTAATTTCTTTTCCTTTCAGTCTTTCCTAACTCATCAGTAAACCAAAGGTACAGAGTATTGGTAGACACTCTGTGTTAAGAAGTAAAATAAATCCTGAGGATGCAGCTTAGTAGTATAGCCCTTGCACAGCACACACAAGGCCCTGAATTCAATCCCCAGCTAGAGAAAGGAGGAAGGAAGGAGGAAGAAGGAGAAAGAGAAAGAGGAGGAGGAGAATTAGAAGAAGAAGAAGAAGAAGAAGAAGAAGAAGAAGAAGAAGAAGGAGGAGGAGGAGGAGGAGGAGGAGGAGGAGAGGAGGAGGAGGAGGAGGAGGAGGAGGAAGAAGAAGAAGAAGGACTATTTTGTTCCACATATAAACTACAAAATATAAACTGTGCCATTTCAGCATTTCCCTGTTCAAGTTAAATGCTGCTGTATTTTCATTTAAACTGGCATTGCACAATATAAAAATGAATGGTAAAATTCATGCTAATGATACAAATTTTTAGTTTTTCTTATAATAGCAGTAAACAGCAAACAAAAAATACTGTGACAAGAGAGATACCATGGAAGACAAGACAAAGCCTTGTATGGCATTTTTTCAGCTTGCTGCACAAGGGGACCTATGTTTTCATTTTTCACTGAGTCTCACAAATTACATAGCTGGCCCTGGGTGTGGATGAGTGGGAGAAATTCTTGCCTTTGTCTTTGCAACTCCTCACTAAAGTTTGAACACAGGGTTGATTCTGAGAGTTGTACTTAAACTGCATTGCAGCTGGGAATTCAAAGAATTGTAACCAAAAAAAGAGAGAGAGAGGGAGGGAGGGAAAGAGGGAAGGGAGGAGGGAAGAGTGAAGGGGGAGAGAGAGAGACAGAGAGAAAGAGAGAGAGAGAGAGAGAGAGAGAGAGAGAGGCTTTTTTCAATGTCCTTGCCTGCTTCAGAGCAGCACCTGCTTCAGAGCAGCTGCTCCAAGCCTCTTGAGACTGAAAGCTCTTTTATGAGTTAAAATGTTCCTCCCCTCCAACTTTCTTTCCACCCTCCCTCCATAGCAGGAAACTACAAGGACAGAAAAGCCAGTCCTTAATTTAAAAATGAAATGTTCATTTCATAAAACTCTTATATTCTTTATATTTTATTAATCCTAGTGTAGTTTGAGACTTCAAGGTACAAAAGCCTAATTGTAAAACAGAAATGGATCCAGCTACTAGTTCTCCCTTCCTGCTGCTTTCAGGTAAAGGAAAGTACGTCTCATATGACTGAACTCGAAGGGGCAACATTACATTTCTACATTTCCTTGAGTATCATTGGCATTTTTACATGAATAGTCCATCTTCCTTTTTTGGTGATTACTTTTAGTAAGCCATTCTGATTTAGAGATATCTATGCAAATATATTACAAATAAATGCAAAGTCACAATGTTTATATGAAAATTCAGTTTCACACAATAAGTCACCCAAAGGCAATGGTATTTCCTAATAAGAACAATGATCATAAACCAATGTGATTTAATTATTAAGTCATTATGCTCTCCCTGCCTGGTAATGTGCCCAGCTGGAAGCAGTTATGTCCACTGCCAACCTCTTTACAGGAAAACATCTGACACCTGCATAAACCTGCATTTCTGCAGCTTTTGCTTTTAGGGGCCCCAGACTCCCATGGGAATCCATCACATCACCCCGATCGGCTGTATCTTCTCAGCTTGTCAGGGCCATGGAGCCCAACACTGATAAACAGTAGAATCTGATGCCCTCAGGCGTGTTTTGCTGGAGAATGAATTAACAGTGTAAGCAGCATTTTTTGGACATGTCAACTAGCTAGAGTGATAGATGGAATCCCAACAGGGTCAACTCAATGTCTTATCTTATAAAGTGGGTAAGTGGCATTGGCAAAGGTAGAAGTTAAAAAAAAATAAATAAGTGAAAAGGGAATTCTTTTTCTTTCCCTTTTTAATAAGCTTTTCTTGTTTTCTCACATATTCATTTTATTTCTTTTTTTTTCCTTTTGCAGTACCACCTCATCACCTACTCACCTATTTCACACTTTTAAAGCTCCTTTTTCTATCAGTGTATTTATGGGAATCATTTCTTACAGTATATATATGCATATATATACATACATACATATATATATATATATGCATATATATACATACATACATATATATATATATATATATATAGAGAGAGAGAGAGAGAGAGAGAGAGACAGAAGAGGAATGAGAAATTTAACTACTGGGCTGGCAAAAATTAATGAATTTTATAATAGGCAATAGGATGTAAAAAGTATGTTAGTGGGAGCATAAATGGCTGCAAGCATTTTGGAGATCAGTTTATTCATCTCTTAATGCTTTAAATGCAATTTTTAAAAAATGAGTAACTCTATGATGATGTGTGAAAAGCTCTAAGAGATAGTAAGTGAAAAGAATTAAGTGGAAAAACAGCATTTGGTGCAGTGTATGGAGTCTATGTTTTATATATATATACATATATATAAATGTATATATGTATACATGTATATTTTCAGTTCTGCTATAACATAATGTATTCTGTTATATTAAAGACAAATTTCTTCCAATACAAAAAAAGTACTTGGGAAATTTGGGGACATAACTCCAATTTCACATTTGTTTATGCACAATTTCATCCATAAGAAAAGCAAAACTGTAACCAACTGAACTGAGTCACACAGGAATACCCAAAATGTTCACATGCACACACCTCAACATGACCAACTGTCTCAGTTCACCATGTGCCACCACATTTGGTGTTAAAACATCCCTTCCGATTTCAGATTAACCCTCCTTTCCCCACTACACAGTAAGTCACAGGGGCAACCTCTCCAATGCTAACTTCCACAAGCAAACAGCAGGTTCTTCCAAGAGAAAGTACAGTGTTTACTACTGCATTTGTATATTTAATCATTTAACATGTAGAAAATTATACTATTTTATTAGATTCCCAGATTTTGTTTATAGTGTGTCACTGATCAGTTTTTCATTGTTGTGCCCCAGCACCATTTTTTCATAAGCCCTGTGACATTTGTTACATAATTTTGTACAGTGCCATGATGTCTAGGAACACATATATCATTGTATACCAGAACTGTACCATATACATACATATATGTATACATGTGTACACACTTGTGTCTGCACATGTGTACACACACACTTGCCAGTGGTTCTCAAATGTTATCATGCATAAGAATCATTAGAAGGCCTGTTAAACTATAGACTGCTGAGCCTTGCCAGCAATCTGGTGAGCTTCTGAGTCAGCAGGAGTGCAGGAGATCTGGGAATTTGCATCCCTAACACATTCCCAGGTAGGATTGTTGCTGGAGGTCCAGGAACCTCACTGTGAGAACCATTTCCCAAGCATTTGCACAAGTACCTTCTGGAGTTCATTGCTGCATTGTTTATAATTGAGACCATACTATAGACTGCTATGTAACAAATGGAAAGAAAGAGGTGAACCTTGAAACTCTAGCATGGAAAATGATCTACAAGACATGTTGTTGGAATAAAGCAAGGTATATATGTAAAATACAAGAATACCATTTTTAATGACTACCCTGTCAGTGTGAAAACATTTTTTCCACAGAAAATATCTGTGATTACCTTTTGGAGAAAAGTAGGATTGGGATGATGGGCGGTCAAAAGGACTTTGGACATAAATGTAATGTTTTAAATTTTGATTACTCAAAGGTAATCAACCTGTGTAATTAAAATTAACACTTTTAAAAAGAAGTGTGTGTATTTCAGAAAATTCTTCTAAATACTATTCAAAACAACAGCTCAATTAGTATTGTTTCACTCTTGCATTTGTTAGCATTAGTAAATTCTATTCTTATTTTAAGCAAAAATATGGACTACATTTATGTAATTTAAACAACTAAAATTTCAACAAGAACATTGGCATCTGTATGTTGTAATACCTTCATTACTTATTAGTAATAATTTCTCTTTCAAGTGTGCACCTGGGAAAACCACTAGGGCCTGCCTTTCATTTTCTACTTGGGTCAACCTTTCACTTTTTGTTGGAGTTTCTCATTATAACTCATATCAGTGAATATTTACTCACCTAATTGGAGCTTAGCAAAATGCTGACCACAGGATACACAGAGTGCTTTTGTTTCTAGCATAATTGCCAAAAACTGATCACATTTAGTGGGTGATTACCCCAAGTTCAACTATTTGACTTTTAT